ACCAGGTCGCCATGTGTGCGGCGGGCCGCTGGTGGGGCTCCAATTTGTCGTTCACAGGGAGCCTGTAGCCGTCGAAGTCCTCGTCGCGCGCCGGGATGCAGTCATCCACTCCCAGGTCGTGTGGGCCCGTCCCAAAGGCGAGCGCCGCGTAGCCGTGCGCCGCGCGGTAGGTAACCAGGCAGGGAAACCCGATCGTCTTGAGCGTGCTCTTGGAGTGCGCACACATGCGCTAGAGAGAGTCGAACAGATCCTTTCCAGTGATCCCCTCACAGGCCTCGACCACGAAGGTGTTGCATCCTCTGGCTATGTAGAGGTCCAGTTCCTCGTCCCGACCGATCCCCGCCCGGGTGCCCCGGGCCTTCTTGTCGCCCTCGGTGGCCCGCGCCTGCCGCTCGGCGGCAAGGACGTGGCGTTCGGTGAAGCGGTTCTGGCGATCCAACCGCTCGATGATCTGGGCTTCGGCCTCGGCCGCAAGGCCGCCCAGGGCCCCAGGTGCCCCGGCGTCGTCCGGACCACCGGCACGCTCTCCACCCATCCCGCCCCCGTGGGGCGACTGGCCGGTGAGTTGCCCAAGGACCGAGGGTCCGTCGAGGAGCGGATTGGTCCGACGAGCGGGGCCCCCGCGTCCCTCGCGCGCCAGTAAGTCGCGATCGCCCAGTAGGCCGCGACGCGGGTCCGTGGGTCGGACGGCGGGCATGGCCCCGAAGAGTTCACGCCGGGGCGCCTGCCTCGGGCTGGGACCCCGCCCCCGCGCCGAGCGGCTCCGCGATCCCTCGCGCGAGAGGCTGCCCTGCAGGGGAACCTTGTCGCTGGCCGCGGCACGCTCCCGCGCGCGCGCCTCCAGCTGCGCGCCCTCCAGATCCGCGAGGGCGCGCTCCAGATCGGGCCCCAGGGGGCCCGCCGCCGCCACTTGAGCGACCCTTCTCCGCAGCTGCCGGTCCGCCTGATCAAGTGGAACCCCGAGTAGGTCAGCGGTCATACCCAGCGCGCTGAGGGCCGCTGCTTGGCCCCCTCGCCCCTTGAGATCCTCCGCTCGTAGGGCATCAATAAATATCTCGAGGGGATCAGGCTCCTCAGCATCCTCGCCCGCGCTGGCGGCGGCCGCCGCCGGGCGCGGTGGGGCTGCCACTGGGGCCGGGCGGGGCAGGCCCTCCATGCCGGGCGCCGGCTGCGCCCCCTGCGCGCCGCCCCGCCGGTGGCGGCCAAGCGCGCGTACCGGGTCGTGCTGTAGCTGCTGGCGCTCCGCGCTCGTCAGGTAGCGCCGCCTCCAGCCGCTCGCGCTTTCCACGCCCACACCGCCCCACTGCTCCTGGCGCAACATCGCCAGCAGATCCTGCGGGATGTGGTGGGCGACGACACGCAACCCCACCTCCCGCGCGCCTTGGGGGACCTCGTACAGCAGCCGATTGATCCAATCTATCGGGTAGCGCCCGTCCTCCAGTGGGGGCGGACGCCGCACAACCTCGCTGGCTGGGACCTCCACCCTGACACCCTCGAGGCTGGCCCCGATGACAAGTCGGGCGTCCCCGCCCGTGCCTCGTACGTCGAGCCCCTCGCATTCACCCAGTAGAATGTGCCAAGGACTCGCCGGGGGCGCGCCATATGCATCCTCGGCTCCTCGGGGGTCGTCTGGGAGTATCGGGCAGACCTTCACGAGGATGGGCTCATGAAGCCACCCGTGATGGGCGACCCGGTCGCCCAGGGTTCCACGGTCCGCGGACCGCGAGCGTTCGCTGGCCCTCGCTTCCGCGGATCGTGATCGACGCGGCTGCGGTCCAGAGGCCAGAGCTTCACCCTCGCTAGATCAAGATCGACGGATGGGGCCACCGCGGGGGGTGGTGGCGCAGCGAGCGGGGGGTAGGCCGCCCCTGGCGCTACGCCTACCCCCTCGGCGGCGCGCGCGGTCCAGTCGCGCGCCTTGGCGGGGCTTGGTACCCGCACTCTCATGCGACGGCGTAGGTCCCCGAGGATCCCCGGCTGAAACGTCGCCTCGACGCGCACGGCGCGGCCCTCGCCCCGTCGAAAGTGTTCCCCGCACATCGGAGCCCCCCCACAGCTACCCTTCGCCATGCGGAGGCATGTGGGAAGGCTGCACTTGCGGCCGATAAGGGTGGACCGATACTTCCGAGCGTGGTGGGCACAGAGATGCACCTGGGCATTGAGGCAATGCCCCGGCCGAGGGACATCCGACACCTCTGCATCTTCCTGAAGCAGGACAGTCGCCTCCTGCATCCTTCGGTCACCGCGCCCCTCCGGCTGGAGGGGGCGTGCTCCGCCTGCTAGCTGCACCCCAACTTGTGCGGCTTGGCAGGAGCGCTCCTCAGCCTCCACCTCGCTCTCCGAATCGATATCCAGGCGGCGGTAACCCGCGGCGTCGGCGATGTAGCGGGGCCCCGGCCGAGCCCGGCACAGCCATCCGAACACCGACCAGGGAAGGCAGAGCAGCCATTTGAGGACCCCGAATTCCTTCCGGAGTCCCACGCCGACTGCCCGGCAAGCTGTAGCTTTTCCGTGCTCGGCTAAGTCCACGATCTGCGTGTGGTCGATGGCCGCGTACTGGTCGACATGCATGGGATGCGCCACCGGGCATGAGGCGCACTCGACGGCACGGCGTAGATGCACGTTGCCGGTCTCCTCGAGGTTCAGCCGCCACTTGCGACTGGTGCACCCCAGGACCTGCCCGATCTTAACGTTGAGTCCGCGGCGGCCCAGCCGATACGGGTCCGCGAAATTGCAGCTGACACGGGCCACCTGCCCGTGCTTACGCAGGAGCACGTGGTTGCACGCCCGATTAGTCCCCCGGCCGCGCACCCCCTTTTGTGTAGAACTCCGTTTCCACGACGACGCCTAACCCCGGCCCGCGCCAACGCACCAGCAGAGGCGCCAGGGGGGGTGGGGGGAGGTGGGCGCCGGGCCCGTCGCCTCCGCGCCGCTGGCAGCACCAGGTAATCTGGCACCACGCCCAGCGGAGCCCCCCGGCAACCCACAGCATAGGCTGAGCTGCAGTGTTGACGATGAAGGCCAGGGCACCCAACACGAACGTGAAGATGCCCAACGCGAAGCAGAGGACCGCGGTTTCCCACCAGTACCCGAGCATCTTAACGCCCAGCCGATCGATGGCGGATCCAACCCAGCCACCGCTCGTGCGGATCGCGCCAGCGTGGTCGGGAGAGCTCACCCACGCACCGTAGCCCACGAACTCGAAGACCCAGGCGGCGAAGCCCCAGCCTGGACCTGACTCCGTCTCAGGGGGCGGGGCGGGTGGCGGAGGTGGTGGCGGGGGCGTGCTCCAGCCGGCCCACCAGTGGGGCAGGTGCGGGACCCAACCGCTCCACCCCCAGCATCCATCCGGCCCGCGCGGCTGGTCAAGCTCGCCATCGCCCGTCCGGTTCTCCGGAGCGGATGGCTGCCCAGGCGCGCCCAGGGGCCCGTCGCTCTCCTCACGTGCCGGCGTAGCAGGGCTGCCCGGGGGCTCGCCCTTGCCTACGCGCCCGATGCCCGCAAAGGTGGTCGTTGTCGTCGACCTCGCCCGCGGCGGCGAGGGAGTGCCTGGCACCCCTGGGGGCTTGGCCTGCGGCCCTCGCCCCTTCCCTCCTTCAGGCGCGGGCTTGGCGGGCGGACCCCGCCCTTTACCTTGCCCCCCACCGCCTGTCGGTAGGGCTTTCGGTCCGGGCAGGGCTGGCGGCGTCGGCGCTGGGACCTCGTCCCCCGCGCGCCCGAACGGCAGCCAGCTCAATGCCCCTTGGACCGAGAACGCACCACCCATAACCAGGATCATCAAGCGCGCCCCAAGGAAGCCCACAGCCATGGCACCACAGCAGCGTCCCCTAGTCCGCGGACTAGCACGGCTGCGGTTATGGCCGCACCGCGGCCCCCCGGAACACCCGCGCGTCGGCCTGAGCCGAACGCTACGGACCCAAAATGGCTACCTGAGCCCACACCCCCTCACACTTAACCTGCAGTCTACAAACCAATCAGACTATACAAATCGCTGGCACATGTTTGGCCTGGTATCTCCGCCTCCTCCTACTCCCCGTTCTCCTCCTCCTCCTCCTCCTCCTCCTCCTCCTCCTCCTCCTCCTCCTCCTCCTCCTCCTTCTCTTTCTTTTCCTCCTCTTCCTCCTCCGTCTCCTCCTCCTCCTTCTCCTCCTCCTCCTCTTCCTCCTCCTCCGCCTTCACCAGACTCCACCTGTTTTCTCTTCTCTTCCTCCTCCTCCTCCCCCTCCTCATCCTCCTCCAATTCCCCTTTTCACCATCACGGCCATATTCCGAGATCCTTATTATCCGCTCTCTCTCCTTCTCGTCTTCCCCATTATCCGTCCTCCCCCTAATCACCTTCAGCCTTCTCCATCCTCACCCAACATATATCCAACCATATATATATATATATCCATCATTCTCCTCGCCGTCATCGCCGTCATCACCCACAACAGTCTGGTGTTGGTCATTACTATCATTATATCCTATATAACCGTGATCATGGTCACACTCATCACCATCACCACCATCAGCAGCAGCAGTGTGGTCGTCGTTGGCACCATCAGCATTATCATTACCCCTCCTCCTAAAATCCCTGTCTTCATCCTCCTTGCTGCACATTCATTCGAAACGCAAGCCACGGCCGCGCCGCCACTCCTCCAGAGCGATTGCCAGCACCACATACACACACGCACACACAAACACACACACACACACACCACTATCCCTAGCCAGGACCGCCCTGGGCACTTGGACAAGGGAAGCAGAGATTATGTTTCTTAGAGTGGGAGAAGATGAAAGCGGACAGCGTGAGTTCACGACTCATGCCAGAGACCAGAGCTGCGGAAGCAGAAACGCACCGACACCGCCACTCCCTGGACCTCTCCTGCGGTGCGTGTTCTGACGAGGACTCCTAAGCGAATCAGGCCGCGACGACGAGGGACGGGATAGCAGTAGCCTCATCTCTTCCCCCTCCGAGGAATGCCTCGACCAGAAGGGTCTGAACGCCATCCTGCAGCCCAGGACGGTCCTAACCAGGGACAGGAGTGTGAAACTGCCTTCTGCAGGGGGAGCAGAAACATCCCAAGCAAAACTCTCGGAGGTCCGCATGGATTTCTGAAGTCGGCACCAGGAGTCTCTCCGTGGCGCGCGGGGCGCGACAGAACCAGCCGCCGCCAAGGGGATTCAGCGCCGATCCAAGAAATCCGCGCGGGCCTCCGAAAATTTCTGCTCATGGTGCTTCTTGTTCCTCGACTCTGCGCGGTCGTGCTCGCGCCAGGCGCCACATCCTGAGGCTCGCGCCCCCTTAGGCTCGGCTCAGGGGGCACCTGGAGGGCCCGGTGCCGATCATCTCCATCCGGACGTCGGCCTCGGGGATCGACCGTCACGTCGTCGTCTTCCTTGACATTTGTCTTCTCCTCCTCGTCTTCCTCCTCCTCCTCCTCCTCCTCCTCCTCCTCGTGTTGCTCCTCCTCCTCCTCCTCCTCCTCCTCCTCCTCCTCCTTCCAGCCACTACCACTGCACCATCATCCTCCTCCTGCCCCCTCCCTCTTCCCGTCTCCCTCATCTTACGCGCCTTCCTCCTCTCCGTCGTCTCGCTCCAACGTCCCCTCCTCCATCCTCACCCCTCCCTCCCTGGTGTTCCTCCTTTCCCCCCCCACTCCTCTCTCTCCTGCTCCTCGTCCTGGTGCCGTGCATCCTCCCACCTCCCTCCTCCTCCATCCGCCTCCACCCCTCTCGTCTGAACACCAGACGTGTCGGCAGGGCGGGCTGGGCGCTTCATCTGGGACTTCCTCACACCGTATGGTCCTGAAACTTGAGCCGTCCAACACCTATCAGGATGGATGACGTGAAGTTCAAAAAAACGGAGCTCTCGCCTTAGCACCGCGCGCACTTGTCTTGGAAACTTACAACAAATACAAAAATGGATGGCGGGTCGTTAGAGCGGGCCCGGCGATTCGCCTGAGCATCTCAACGCTTGCAGCATTGAAGCTTGAAAGTTCCCTACATTTAAGCGGACGGAGGGCGGGTGATTGTCAATATGGAGTCCTCGCCTCAGCGCCCCGCACTTTCTCGTCCACAAAACATGCAGCGGCTACGAGCATGGAGGGCGGCTGCGTTCCATAATCAGCGGGGCTCTCTCTCCTCGGCGCCGCGCACAGTCGCCCCACGAGACTGCACCAGCTGCCGAGGATGGAAAACGGCTCCTTTCAGGGGGACGTAAGACCTGGGTACAGAGGACTCGGAAATACCCGACGAGGTCTTCAAACAAATGACGAGGCCGAGCCTGCATTTTGACGAGGCCTCCCGCTGCAGACATCCCACGAAACTCCTCCTCGTCAAAATCCGAGGCGCGGCCGTCAAAAAACGATGGCGAACCCGAGTCCTGGCAAACCAGGGTCGTACGCTCCCCCGATCCTTCTCATCGTGAAACTCTCGCCGGCGCGCCGCGCACAATCGCTGCGCACCAACAAGCACCGGATACCAACGTTCGGGACGGCGCCTTCTCAAAGCGGTGGGGCGCCCGCCCGAGGCGCCGTCAAAGTCATGAGCGTGCATATCAGCATCTGCAGCAGCGTCACGGCTGGAGGCCCGCGCGCTTGCAGAATGGGGCTCTCGCCTGCGACTCCCTTCCCACAGAATGCGCCGACCCTGCCGGAGTGTGTGAGAGGCTGTTCCGTTCGAGTGGTCGTCGTCGGCGCTGTCGGAATCACCGCTCGAGCGTGTCCCTGCCCGTGGGCCCTCCTCTTCAAACGTTCCAGCCACGGAAAAACTCGAGCAACGTCGTAATCGAGTCGAGGGGAAGCCCCATCCCCTTGATCCCTTCCCCGCCGAGGGAGTGTCCCTGGGGGGGCACAGGGGAGGGGGTCGGGGGGTCTTCCCGCGGGGTTTGGGGGGGGGGGATTGTGACTCTCCCCCCGTGGAGGAGCACGTGCACCCCTCCCTGGCAGACGGTTTCCACTTCGATCCCTTGCGTCCCACACGCCCTCGGTTCCCCTTTCAGGGTCGGCGTGCCGGCCGCAAGGCCTTCACAGTGCATGACGCGCACAAGTGTGCAGCAGCTGCACGGATGGAGGGCGGATCCCTTCCAAGATGCAGCTCTCGCCCGGGGCTCCGTCAAGCTCAACGACCATGAGTTTGAACGAGTTCAACAGCGAAGCGGATAGAGGACGGTTTTATTATCAAGATGGGGTTCCCATATGAGACTCCATCAAATTCAACGACCAGAACTGTGACTACCTACCAGACCATCCCAACCCAACCCGAAGACCCGAAGTTCGGGTTGGGGAGGGTAAGGGTTCCACCCGTGTTTTTTCAATGTTCCCCGACCCCCCCCCACTGGAAATGGAGGCCAAATTGAGGCCTTCGGGTTGGGTTGGGGTGGTTTGGTGGGTGGTGATATACGAGGGCGCTCCTGTCCAAAGCAGGGCTTCCGCCCGAATGGCAGGCCCATAGCGTGGTGGTCTTTCAGAGGGGGCGCTTGTCGAGGCGAGAAAGAAAATAGAGGAGGGAACGCGGGACGGGAAGGTGTGTAGCAGCACCCTTTCTATATACACTTAAAAGTACATGTATACACGTGTTATAATACACTACAACAAAAAAGCGCCTCCATTGTGATCATACGATTTGCCCTGGCTTCGATGCTTTCCATTGTTTATTTTTCCGTCCTCCCCCTCATCTGGTCCCCGCTCTCCGTCGCTTTCCGTCGCTCCTCGTCCTCCTCCTCCTCCTCCTCCTCCTCCTCCTCCTCCTCCTCCTCCTCCTCCCCAAATCCTCCGTCAGCGGGGCAGTGCATACTCGGACTGGGGGCGGCGGGGCAGCGCAAGTCTTCATAATTAGCGCTCTCCCGCGCTGGATCCCAATCCCCAATCCTTCTCTACCCTCCAGAGGGGGGTGTGGAAGAGGAGGAGGAGGAGGAGAAGGAGAAGGAACAACTACATGATATGAGCGAAGCGGAGGAGGACGTAGATAAGACGAGCGCAATCCCGAGTATGAGAACGACGACGATGACGATTGAGATGATGACGATGATGACGATGACGATGATGAGGAAGGAAAAGAATCCTTAATCAAGAACCCTGAGCAATGAATCCGCAATAAGGGATCCTTAAGACGGAGTCATTGATAAGGAGTCTTCACAAAGGAATCCTTCATGAGGAACCTTAGCTAAGGAGCCTCTAAAAAGGAATAGGTGCTACTGGTGCTCATGGAGAATGCACAAACGAACCCTTAATAAGGAATACGTACCAGGAAATCCTTACTAAGGACCCTTAATTGAGATATCCGCGATTGTAAGGAATCTTAAACAAGGAACCCGCAATAAGGAACCTTAAATTCCGGAGCCCTGGAAAGGAATCTGAACTAAAGAACCCTTAATCCGCCGACCCTGCGTCGGCGTGTGTGAGAGGCTTGTCCGTTCCCGTCGTTCGTTCGTCGTCGTCTCCGTCGTCTCCTGTCCCTGCGCCCCTGGCCCAGTCGTCTCCTGTCCCTGCGCCCCCTCGTTTCCCTGGGCCCGCCCCCCCTCCCCCCCTCCCCCCTCTTCCCTGGGCCCGTCGCCGCCCCCCCCCGCTTTCCAAGGGCAACGCTGTCATTGAAGGAAGCCCCTTCCCTTTAATCCCTCCCCTGCCGGCGAGGAGGGGTCCCCGGAGGGGTCCCGGGGGGGGGCCCGGGGGGGTCCCGCGGGGAGGTCCCGCGCCACGTGCAACCCCCCCCTGGGGGCCCCGGGGCCCACACGAAGCCTCACGAGAGCCGAGACATTCTACCACGCCCCAGCCCCGGCCGGTCCCGGCCCCGGCCCCGGCCCGAAGCGTACCCGGTCCAGGCCGGCCCAAGATCCCGCCCCGCCGGCCCCGGCCCCGGACCCACTCCTGGCCTCGGCCTCAGCCCTGGTTAACCCTGGCCCCGGCCCTGGCCGGCCCCGGCCCCAGCCCCGGCCGCGCGGCCCCAGTCCCAGCCTCGGCCCTGGCCCCGGCCCTGGCTCCTGGCCCGCTCCAGCCCCGGCGGCCCTGGCCCAAGGTCCAGGCCCCAGCGTCCTCCAAATCTAACTACACCTCCGTGGCCTCCCAAATACCCAAGATGCCGCACCTAGCCTCAAAACAGCGAACGAAGCCTGGAAGTCGCCCCAGGAGGGCCCCAAGACGCCCCGACGGTCCTGATAGGCAAACAGGGTCGTCGTCAACGTCGTCAACATCCTCGCCATTATCGCCACGCTCTACTCGCCCCTGCCCTTCCTGCGTGCCCCCCCCCCGCGACCCTGCTCGCCCCACTCTCCTCCTATTCATTCCCCCCTGTGCTCCTACTCCTCCTCATCCGCCTCTTCCTCCTGTCCCCCTCTTCATCTTCCTCCCCATGCTCCGCGCCCTCCTCCCCTACCTCAGGTTCGGCGGCACCGGCCGCAAGGATTTCGCAAAAAGAAATCCTGTGTAAGGAACCGATCATAAGGAATCGCCAAGGTATCCTTCATGAAAACTCCTGAGTACGGAATTTGCACCCACGAATCGTTGTCAAGGAATTCCTTCCTACGGTGATATGACTATGGATTCCTTAATCAGGAACCGTGCACATGGAACTCTTACCCAGGAATTCCGAAGACGAAATCCGAATTAAGGAACCCTGAATGAGGGATATGTTCGAGAGAAGCCTCCATAAGGAATCCTGAATTCAGAATCTTAACTAAGGAGCCCCTTTAGAACGAAGATGTACTAAGGAATCCGTGCTAAGGAATATTTAGGAAGGATCACTTAATAAGTAATCAGGAGCAAGAAATATGTGACAAAGAACCTTTGAAACAGACTCCTTCATAAAAGATCAAAACTAAGGAAAAATGAATAATGAATCCGTCATGAGACATATTTCGGATGGAATTCTCAATCAGGAATCCTTCCAACAAAAAAACCTGATCAAAACATCATTGGTCTGAACTCCTTAACAAAGAATATTTCCTCCGGAATCCTTCATACGGAACCCGTCAAAGGGATAATTAATCAAGGGGCCCTACATAAAGATTACCTCATGCGGAAAATTTGAGTTGGAATATGGACTAAGGAATCCCTAACAAGGAACCTCTACTTACAGAAAATTAGTGGAGTCCGATAAGGATTTCTTCTGAAATAATATCAACAAAAGAGCCCGTACTAAGGAATATGAACTAAGGAATCCCTAATAAAGAATCTGTATTAATGAATCCTTTTCTGAGGAGTCTGTAGTAATGAATTCTTCGTAACGACTCTAGACAAAAGGAATCCTTAATGGCCAGACATCCTCACCCTCGGTTCAAGAAACGCTGTAGGTTTGGCAGTGTTTGTTTGTTTTTCTGGTCTGGGATGCAAGGAAACACTGTGTTGTGCTGTGTTTGTTCATTTGGGTTTT